AATAAAATAAAATAAATAGATAATAAATTATTAAACACATATTGTTATTTAAGTGTGCAACAAATTAATAAGCAAGCTCTCAATTTGCATTTTGCAGTTTTCAGTGGTCACTCATCTCTAATACACTCCCTGAAAAGCTATTGCTTGAACTAAAGAACCAAAAGATACTTAAGGAAAACTGTTTCTCATAGCATATTTAAACAGAAATAGTTAACTGAGAGATCTATGCAGTGTTGGCAAATGACTTAAATAGTTACAATGAAGTCCACACCAATTAAATACAATATTACAGAAATCTTAATTCATCTTAAATAATTTTATTAAGGAATTTATGAGTGACCTAGACATTGTTTAAATGTTATACTTGTTCATCAACCCTGCACAATAAACATGCAATTGCATTTTTAATTTTTTTAACATTGTATTTATACAAAAAGAATAACTCCGTTTGCTATATTGCATGAGAACATCACCCAAAAAGAAGACCCTGGATAAACAAACCTTATAAAACAAAAAACAAAACAAAAAAACAACAACATACTGCCACAATTATTTTTTAATGCTTTTAAATGGTTATGTTATTCTTTTGGCCTTTATTTGTGCATTCAAAGCCAACATGGTCCAAACTTTGTGAATCAGGGAAAATGTTCTATAGAAAGTTTGCACTTTTTCCCCTCTTTGAACACCGCCAGTTAATTTTCCTGCATTGCAGTGAGGATCTACTATAAATCAAAACAGAAAAAGTGAGCATACCATCAGACATTTAATTTCTCTTCATCAATGCTGACACCTATATTGCATGAGATAGAATATACATGTATACCTACAGTATGTGTCTGCAGCAGAATGTGTAGATAAAAAAGATAAGCTAACAAGATGAATTCATCTTTAAAACTGGTGGTATACCGGCATCATAAATGATGATTATTGATTAGTGTCATGAAAACCGTTTATGCCGTTGGAACAGCTGGCAATAAATCCAACACAGGCAACTGTTGGCCTGGGGTGACTGTAATACCTGTCTAGCCCATTCATATCAATAAGGGTGGCTTCAATATCCACATTTGAAATAATTAAAATTTTCAATTGTGCTTGCTTTATAGTGGTACAATTTTTAAAATGTCAATATGATTGACATAATTCTATCTTGTACAGTACTCTCACATGATCTTTAAGTTGCTTTGCAGAGCTCTGGGAAGTCAGATCTCAGTTTGAAGTGACAACAACAATCTGGGACAAACAACAACAGATGAGAGTGGAGTGTGTCACTAGCATTAAGTGTTGTAATGAGAGGCACCCTTGTATAACACAATACAGTTAAACAGTCCAGAGTACTGTATCAAGCATTGCATGAACACACTTCAGATTTATTGACATCATCATGACTTGCAGGCTAGCAAGTGCCTGATTTCACTGTTAGCTGAGACAGCTACACAAAAAGGACAAGAAAACGGTTTTAAAGGAAGGTAGGAAAGAAAAACAACACAGTTTGATTTAGATCATAGAGTTATATTGGCGCCGTTTTCAGCAGATGGAAAGAGCTGACAGAGAAAAGGGACTTACAAACAGATGCTGATTTAACATTCTTTCTGCTTGGCTGGTATATTGTGAATTTATTATTTATAGTAGTACGATAAGGATTCAAACTATTACCGTTTGTGCGTGTAGCTAAATCATGCCAGAACATGTCATCGGCACAGTGTGACTGTAACAGCAGCTGGCTAAACTAAGGATCTCACTGTGTTGCTACTTTCAGTTGTAATAATCAACCAGTTACATCCAGGTAAGTTCATTCACAAGGCACCTGGTCGGTCTGCCACAGCTGTTGAGTCAATTTGTGACTGTGAATTATATTATTTTGATGCCCACTCATCTTAAAGTGTTGTAGTCTGGCTCTCTGGTCAGTGCCAGCTACAGCTGCAGTCATATTACTTTGCTGTGCCTCACACACTTCAGTTACTACAATGATGTAGCTGCACTTTTATTCAATTTCAGACATGTTTTTGAATGGTATGTGTCCTCCTTGTGACAGAGTAGCAAAGCCTTTTTTGTTTGTTTTTTTGTTGTTGTTGTTTGGTAACACAACCTTTTTGATGGTCAAACTTTGATGTGTTGGGCCCCATGTTGTGTAGTGGACGGTGCTATACAGTTGTGCTGTGTTTACTGTAGACATGAGGCAGGGCATTTAGCTTGGTGAGATACATTATTTTAATGCACACCAGTTAAATGCTGTCCACTAATTTGGTGAAATTCTCTCGAAACTGCGACAATGTGTGACCATTTTGGCGTCCATGATGGGCCGGGTAGAGCGCAGAGCAGAGTGGAGTGAGTAGGGGGAGAGAGGGAGGCAATTGGTTCTGGTGTCTTATGCTAGCTCATGCTAGCTAGCTAGATTTTCAAATGTTACACATTTCAGCTTCAAATATCATCTGAGAGTACTATCAGAACAGGACAGTTTAAATCATACTGACATTTTAAAAACTAACACTATAAAGTAAGCACAACTAAAAATTGAAATTATTTCTAAAGTATATATTTCTACTCAGGTCTGCACCAAAAATGTTTAAGAATCAGAGAGACATTTCTGTGATTTTATGTTCCCAATAATAAAGTTTTGAGGACATTTCTCCCTTTATCCTACTTTTATGTGTCCTTCATTGCGTGTTTCCTATAGTGCTCACACATGGCATATTATTCTCTGTCATAAACACTCTATCACAGTACACATCCAGATATTATGAGCAGTCTCTCTCCTCTTCCAGCTTGCTCATTCCTGGCTTAATAAGGCACTGTATCCTTCATGTCTTATCCCCCCTCTCCTTTCATTCATTTACCATGTGCATTCCCACTGCATGAAAAGATGACTTTGACTTTCTCCAGTCTGGCTGATTATTTATCTTAGCTAACAACACAAAAAAAACTGTATGTAGCTTTAAACAGGTAAATCGCTTGTTTTCTGCTTTGGTATTGCTTCTCATAAAACTACAACATTTAACAAATGTACCAAGGAAAATCAAATTAAAAATAGTCTAAAGTCCTACTATTGGTACACAGAGGTACACATCACAACATTGAAGAGCCGAACAGAACAAATATGATTAGTTTTCAGTTGTTCTTACACTAGCAAAGTGGGGGCTAAAAATGATAAGTTTTTCTGGATGGTGTTCTTTAAAAATAAAAGGGAGCATGAATGTGCTCTGTAAATTTAATTGCAATCTGACCATTCTCATCTATATACAGTATGTACAGTATATCTGTTGGACAGATGGATATCTCTGTCCTTTGGCCATGCTGCTACTACTGGGACAAAAGATGAAATAAAAAAGCCAGAGTTATAAACACATTAACTATTTACCAAGCATCATTTGGGGACATTTATTTATGTAATGTTGTAAATTAAAGATGTTAACTGACAAGCTAATGAGAGACTGTGACTTGTTTACATCTATACTTTGACTGGGTTTCCAGGTCACTCAAATCTACTGGAACAAAATGAATTTATCATATTGTTAGCAATATAAAGGAGCCCTTCACACACAGTGTTGGCAGTGTGTGGACACAATATTTAACATCTGTAAGCTTTACTACTGTATAATTCAGTTCAGTAAAACCCTATTTGTGAAGCTCTGATTGTTCAGATGGTGTTGACACTGTGTTATGGGTGTTAATTCAAGTGGAGGTTCTGGAGGCTGCATGTGTTGGATTAGATTATTATGTACAGGCACCTTAAATCTTCACATTAACAAAAGATGACTACATAAGCTTCTAAAACCTCAGGTTTATCGCAGAGCTGTTGTGTTAAGTTACAGGAGGATGTACAGTTGTTTTTGATTTCACCCTCTGTGCTTACATGCAATGTGAATTTTACATGAAAAGTCATTCTAATTTCTGCTTTTTACATATCTGTGACTGTCCTGAAAGTCTCCTTATCTCTCTGTTTTCCTTCCACTCTGTTCTTCCATCCATCTTTGCATCCTTCCTTTTTCCCTTGCTCCATTATTCCTTTGTATTTTTTGCTTGTTACTGTAAATGTAGAATAAGATGAAGCAAAGAAGTCTTCTTCTGACTCAAAAGACCTCAGCGTGCCACAAGTCTGAGCCAAAACCCTTGAAATATTGCACAGCATATAATCTGATATTCTCTATGTCTAGAAGCCTTGCAAACAAAGTGTGCTAGAAGCTGGCAAGTTGTCTGTTTCAATGAGGAAGAGCTGGGAGGAAGAATTACTCTGGATTTTGTAGGTCCTTCATGACTGGGAGGTAGTACCTGTGGTTAGGTAGAACACAGACTCCCCAGAGAGCACTAAGAAAAGTGTACAGTGTAAGTAGAGGAAAGATGGGTGTAGAGGGCTTCAAAAAGTTAGAGTATTAAAGGAAAAAGTCTGTTCCTCCATGAACAGATCAGTTGAGCTGATCCTCATACTGTTTCCGGAAACAGTCACCAGCAGGGAAGAACTCCCAGCAACGCTCCTGGTACATCTTCCATACATAAGACTCCTTAAAGACAAATGGATGGGAGGAAGTAGGGAGAGTTTACAATATATATGTTATTTTTGCATCTCTTTGACCTGATTTACATTGCCCATTATGGGAACAGTAATAGCATTGTAAGCTTCAAACACCAAATGACTATTGGCCCCAGCATGCTTCAAAGTGATCTGAATACATCTGAGATAAAAGCCTGCTGTCATGAACAAAGTGAAATGTCAGGAAAGATGCAAATAAGGATAACAGCTCGAATTCTATTTAATCCCCTACAACAATAAGTGGGGAGTTGGGATGTTTAATTTCCACACTAGTCATCTGTTCGGCCTGGTGCCTCCAGGTGCTTCCATTCTCTGGGAGAATAAAATGGTTTGCAGTTCATGAAAAGAGTGTCCAAGTCCGTTTTACAAGTTCTTTCCAATGCTGTGACATGTTTACATGCCATTGGAATCAAAGAAACTGCGCTAATTTGGTTCAAATCTTATTTATCAGACAGACTCCTATTTGTTCATGTTAATGGTGAATCTTCCATGCTCACTAAATTTTGTCATGGCGTTCCACAGGGCTCTGTGCTAGATCCAGTTCTCTTCACTTTATACATGCTCCCTTTAGGCAATATTATTAGGAAACATGACTAAAATTTCAATTGCTACATAGATTATACTCAGCTATAATTATCTATAAACCCAGATGAATCAAATCCAGTGGGTCAAACTTCAAGCATGTCTTAAAGACATAAAGGTCTGGATGACCTGTATTTTCTTCCTCCTAAATTCTGACACAGCCGTAGTTATTATAATTGGGCCTGAAAATTTAAGAAACATGCTGTCTAACCATATAGTTACTCTAGATGACATGGCCCTGGCCTCCAGTACTACTGTGAGGAAAATAAATATGTCTAATATCTTGTTTTAGTAGCTAGCATAATGCACATACCTCTCCATTAAAGTTCTGCAAATTATTCCCTGAGCTTATGTCTGAATTGGAGATTTTAGGATAGTGGGGATGATGTGTGTGTACGACTTCGTTTTCTATATTTGTGCAAAAGGAAATCCGGACTGGAGGCCGAACCCCATGACGTAGTTTGTCAGTTTTTATAAAAAAGAGGGGTCATAAGGTTAGAGCAGTTGAAATATGCTTTTCTTTCTTTTCTCTCTCCTCTATTCACTCACCCCAACCGGTTAAGGCAGAAGGTGATGAGAAACAGGTGGATGTAATATGAGTAAATCGTGGCATGATCCTAGTAAAACTGGGGCAGGTGATTGTGGCATGAACAGTAAATGTCAAAAAAAAGCAAGAAACAGCAAGTGATTGTGACACCTCCTTTGATTTGACCATTGAAAAGGTGTTTCAGATGCTTTTAGAGGATCCTACCAGCACTGTGTTTGAAACATTCTGAGGTTTTAACAATGTAAGCCACCAGCAGCAAAGATCAAAAACACTGGAGCTGAGCTGTAATAACCATATTTCAGTATCACAGTCATGCACTGCAAATTTACTGGCAACAAAAGGATCTGAGTTGGTTTACCTGGCCTGTGTGCTCTGTTTCATCTTTATTGATGAGATACATCACAAAGAATCTGAAATACACACACACAAAATCATAACACTGACAACATTATCCCACATATACAAACACCAACAATGTTAGATAAAATCTGACCCTTACTCCTTCTGGGCTGTAGATTCAACACAGACGCTCAGTGCTCTTTGGCAAAACAATGCACAAATATGGATCTTGGGTGAATTGTAACCTCAGACATGATCCGAATTATATAATACTAAGCTTAAATGGTAATCCTAAAGTTAAGGAAACCTCTGCTTTAAAGCATTACATTTTTTTATTCTCAATTCCATTTCTTTAATTAGGCTGTCACTGTTTGACAAAAAATTTCCAGTGAGTTCTGTGTTTTGAGAAATGTTCTTGAATGTCTCTCAGAATCCTACATTTCTGCAGATTCTTGCAGTGACCCTCAAACAGCCATACAATGATTGAAATGATTGTGTGCTGCCACTCCTGGTCTTTGGTAAGGTCTAGTAAACAGCTATATTTGTTTGTAATTCTGCTTTCATTACTACTGGATTATTAATCCAGCTCCTAATTATAAAACACTGACTGGCACTGTATTAGACGTATAAGAACACGTACTGTATACACAAGCTTCAGGGGTACTTACAAGTAGTTGGCTAAGTTGTGCTCCTGCAGTGTGTGCGTTTCAAAGCCATGTGGAACTGTGTCAAAGTAGTCATTACCTATTCCACAGATGAAACATTTGGTCTGGAAGACAAACATGGGAGTGTTGAGTGAAAATCATTACAAAATCATTTATCTGTGGGCTTTTATCTGTAATATCGATAATTGTAAATTTCAACCCCCCATTATCTAGATTATCATGTCAATCCGGGAGTTACTATCTTCGTGGGGACTGGAAGTTGATCCCCAGGACGTAGTTTGTCGTATTTTATAAAAACGACGAGATGTAAAGTCAGAGCAAGTGTCGGCTTTTGTTAGGGTTAGGTTAGGGTACAGTAAGTCTTCTGGAAATGAATGTAAGTCTATGTAGGGACCTGGTAAGTGATGAAAACAAGGCTGTGTGTATACATGTATTGGTTGTCATTGTGAGCACATTTTAACTGCTCCAAGGGCAGTTTGAGGGTTAAGACTTCATTTTAAAGATAGAGTAGGTTGTAGGTGAGACTCGGAGCACTAAAATAGGTCAGCCAATTCAAATCAGTCTCACAAAATGTTAGTTTAGCCACACATTTTGGAATCTTTACAGTAATTACAAATAACAAAACAAACACAATAAATGAAAACTTAGTAACATTATTAGAATTTACATTGCCATAAATACATTTCAGAAAATAAGTTTTTCAAAAAAATGACTGATAACGACACCCTGCCAAACTGCTGAATTCATAACACCAGTTACACAACTTCACCAATTACCACTTTTTAACCTTCAGAAAATCTACTTTTTTATATCTTCTCCATTGTAATGCCTAAGGATTTCCATGGAAGCCCTGGGATTCCAAAACCTTCACCTGTGTCGGTATAAAATAGGGTAGGAATCAAGAAGGAACTGGAGGGAATCAACCTGGAACTGGTTCCATGTTTCCAAGAACCATGGATTCGATAAAGACAAGTGCATTTCAGTTCTGTGTTTTTGGTTCTCAACTGTTTCATATTTCAATTGTGAAATGCAATGTGTGTGATACAGTCCAGAAAAGATTCACTTATCTGCCAGGACCTGCTATGCGGACCTGCATTTATTATGCAGCATGTCAACAAAGCATGTGAAGAGACACTTCTGTTTACAGTACAGCTGACAGAATAACTACTATTATAGTCTACAGTGAACTGTGGTTAGGCCTTCTCTGTGATAGGTTTAGCTTAATGAAATTAATGTAAATCTGCACTGCAGGGAGATGACTGAGGCCCTAAATCCTAAGTATAACCCTCCCTCCAGGGATAGTTTGTCCAATCATTAGTTCTTTCTATTATTTCTTTAAATGGTTTTGGTTTACAATTATTTTTGATGATCAATCCTAAGAAAGAGTAATATTTATTTTTAATAAATGAAGGGAAACAGAAACCTTTGGATCACAGTTTACAGACTATGGCCTACATGTGCCAAGAATAAGGAAGCCAATTTTTTTCTTGAAATATTTGTTCTTTTGAAATTTTCTCTCAGAAAAGTATTGAAAGTGGAACCAAGCTCTGATGAGAACCAGGTTTGATAAGCAGAATCAGAATTGGAATCCAAAAAATTGAAACAATACCCAACCCTACTGGGGAATATACTGTATGTCAGTGATTGTCCTCATAACCACAGAAAGATGACTGTGTGTGAGTGCTTTCACCTCCATGTCTTCTTTCACTTGTTCCTGCTGGTCCCTCAGCTCTCCAAAAGCATCAATGATCAACCCTAGAATTTCAGAGAACAGATGGCATAGTAGTTGAACTACCAGGCCTACAATCTTTAGGTGTTCATGTTTCTAGTTCCTAGTTTGTCTTACTGAGATCATTTCCTCACCACGACCAGCAACCTGCTCAGCCAGCATGACATTAATGTAATCTTACTGTTAAGTGGTATTGGTGTGTAGTATAGACCCGTAATGGTGCACCCCTACAAAAACCTGCTTTTGATCCTGGAAAGCCATATTTGTAGTTCTGTTGGCCTGCGTGCTTCCTGCGTGACTCCACCATCCACAAAGTTATATTTGCATTGTCAGTCAGTGTTGTCTGCCCAGAGTTTGAGTTTAGCCTCATCAACTTCTGTAAACAGTATATACATTGGTGTGTGTGCCCCTGGCCCCTGCCTCCCTCATCTATCATGCTTTTGTAGCCAGTGTAGCACCACTTCAGTGATTTTTGCCTATTTGTTCTCCTCATGTTTAACTAATTTTTCTAGATTACCTAATTGTTTAGACTCTGCCAAACTTTGGACCTTGTCTTCCATCCGTTTCCCTTTGGACTGTTTTCCTGGTTTTGCCCCACATCATTCCCTCTTAGTTGTTTTCACCTGGACTTTGAGTAAAGCTGTTTTCTTGTGTGTTATATTAAGTCACTGTGTGACTGAATCCGACAGCCTGTCTGCCTGTCGTGTGTCATGACAGGGACTTCCTCTCCTTAAACATTAAATGTAACTTTCCATTAAAGAACTTATAATGGCATCTGTGACTCAAATGAAAAATGACCCAAAACATGTCATAGCATAAAAAGAAAACATTGGTGTATTTTATATCATTAATGATGGTGACATTGATTTTAATTGCTCAAAGCCCATTATGCGTGCTGGTCAATGGGAAAGGGATGGAATTAGTTACCCCATACTGCAATTACAGATCAAAATGTCTGCTGCAAAATTCATTATTATTTATCTTTTTTTTTTTTAATTCTCAGCAGCAACCTCACTATTACAGTACTGGTGGCTGTGTGTTAATTCAGGGCACTTTAAGACATCTGAAGGTGACTGCATAGGAAGGGAATGCTTGGATATATTTTTATTCCACTCAAACAGGACCACAACTGGATTTGACTCCCAGTCTCTAATAAACATGCCCCATCCTTAGGGTATGGATGTGGTTTTGGAAGGGATCAAGCAATGGGTCGCATTCCTTCTGTCAGGGTCTGAGGGTGGCCCAAAGCCAGATAATGTCAGTCACTATAACCAGAAATGAACACAGATCACAATAATTCTGCATCAATTCTCACTGGTCAATGAACCACAAGGTATTGGGGAAGAGGTTTCCAGGAAATTAAAGTCCCTACTAGTAATCAAAACAAATATGCATGCGAGTGCGTGTGTATGTGATCTCTCACCCTGGATGATAGCTAGGAGGATTACAATGACAAAGAAGAAGAAGGTGATGTCAAAGATGATGCGATAGATCTCATACTCGTCACCTGCTGGGTCCTCAATCTGGTCACCAATCCCTCCACCTGCTCTCACACCTACATACATGTGAAACATGTAGCACTGGCAGAGGGACACACAGGAAGTGGAGGAGAGAGAAATGTAACAGGGTGAGTTTTAAACAGGGATCAGCCATATGTAATGCAAACAGATCACATGGACTAGATCTACAGCAGCTTTTCTAAAATGTTGCTCTCCAGTTTGGAAACATTATATTTTTCCAACTAAAATGCAGCAATATTTACTAATCGTGGATATACAAAAATGTGACTATGTATGAAAATCAATGATAATCATGTAAATAAAATCAAGTATGTGAAGATAAATGTATACTGTACAGATTGTAAACCCCCTTGAGGCAAATTGTGATTTGTGACACTGGGCTTTAAAATACAACTGCCTCGACAAGCTTCAGAAAAAGGTCCTTTGTTGGCAGTGGTTTCTACATTAATCAGTGTCCATGTCTGTCACAGCAACAGCTACTATTTTGTTATGCTTACTTGTTCCTTATACACCTTTTGAGAAATTGTGCCACAGGTAGTTACTTCATAATGTCCACATTTTTTCATTGCTAAATCAAGGAACACCTCTAATTCCTAATATTCTGACCCTCTCATGTACGTCAATGGGCAGGACAAAAATATACAGACACCTCTGAATATAATGTAGTCCAGTACAACACCACCTTTAACTATGACCTCAATAATGAACATATAATTGAATTGAAACATTTATGACAATCTCACCAAAAACTGAAACATTTTGAGCTTCATAAACACAAATGTTAAGTCAGAAGTGTTGCAATGAAGTGCATACAGATGTACAGGTGGTCATAATGTTATGCCTGATCGGTGTATGTTTTTATTGTGTCAGGTTTGAGTATGTCATACTGAATAATACTGTAAATGTTTCTGTTCTATGCATATTTCCACAAAGAACACTGGTAGCATGACCAACAGATACAAAGCACATCAACATAACCATGTTAACATTAAGCTCAACGATAGAGACAGAGTCAGCATTAGTGGAAAAACAGGAACACAAATAAGGAAGACAAAAACTTAGATGATAGACATTTTGTACAAGATACTATGAAACAGCATGCAGAGAAGAACTGTAATGGAGTGAAAAGTAAAGGAGAGATCAACTCAGATGCTCTCACCCTGCTGTGAGTATTATTCTAATAGATTTATTCATATACAGTGAAGAAGAGCAAAGCCAAAACTTCCCCAAGGCAGTGGCCTTTCATCCGGCAAAGCTGCCACCTGTGGTCCCTTAATAGGAAATAGAAGAGTTCTGTGGAATTCTATGGGTGGCTGACTATAGGGGATTAGTCTGTGTGTATCCTAAAATTTCCATGTGACAGAAAGCCCCCCACCACCCCCCATCCCATGTAGACACCACCACAAAGTCCTTATATAGTATTTCTTTTAAATGGCTTGGCAGCAGGGAAGCTGCCATAATTCCATAATTAACTCCATCCATAATTAATTGTGTCTTACCTGTGCCCACCCTCTATCACTGAAAAGATGTTCCTACATAAATAAACTCCAGTATCACATTCCTGTATCACAAAGCTGGCTCACTTTTAACCAAGATTGTTCTCAGTTGTTATGCTGCATATTGTATCATCAAACTATTTTCCCATTTTCAGATAAGATTATCTAGCATTACTAATACTGGGCTACATATAACCAAAGAAAACCATAAATTAAACTTGGATCATGACAAAATCTTAGGTTGGTAGCATAAAATTCACCTATGCTGTCATGTACACTGTTGCTATTCATGAAAAGCTAACAGATACCTGGAAAAGGAACAGCCAAAAGACCACATAATCATACAGAAGCTCAGCTGAACTGTAGATAAAGCCAGAGGGTGAACATAGTCAGACTAAAAGCTCTGACCCATGTCTTTCTGTCCATACATGGAGCTAGACCCTCCTTACTGACAGGCTCCACAAAAGGCTTCCTATTTTCAGAGACAAGAGAACAGCACCCAACCACTGCCAAGAACAATGAGACTGATTAGCAGCAAAGTGAAATTATGCTCTTAATGTCCACTAACATTCAACCATGTAGAAAATAGCATACATATATTTGCTGAAACATCAACGTCTATACCCTTCATCCATACAGAGATGTCATTTATTACACTTTTATTCATGATACAGTTAACCTTACTTCACTGAAATGTTCTCATCATGCTCACTAACCTACACAGTTATGCTTTTGCTCTGTTTAGGGTTCGTATGTCCAGAGACAGGGGTTGTTTTGCCCTTGCTATAACAGTAAACCTCATATGTTGGAAATGTTTGCTCTTCACAGTTTTAGCTGATACACTTCTTGTACTCACTGTCAACATGTCATCACACTTCATGTCTGGCAGTTCGGAATCTTCACTCTTGTTGTAGAACTTCCTGAAGAAGTTGAAAGCCACTACTGTATAAAGGTATACCACCACTGCTAACAAGCCAACTGTTAACACCAGCTGGAAAACAGGACAAGAGACCAGGCTGTTGTGATGCAAAATAGAGTCAGAATAAACATGAGCAGTACAACATACATCACAATGGTTAGAATAATGGCAACTGACTTTTTAATAAAAAGCCTTTTTGTCTACTTTAGACATATGTGGGATAGTCTGATAATATTGCATCAAGTGTTTTCCATAATTGTGGATCCCTTCTACCTTTAAGAAAATGCATGGCTTTGGCATATTGAAAATATTTCACATATATCACAGGAGGGTTTGGTTTTGTAATCTTTTCTGGATAACCAAGAGACATTTTGTTGTTAGTGACTTGTGATTCTGTTGTCTAACTGTATTGTAGAATAATTCAATTGATCTCTTTCATTGTATGACAGGAAATTTTATTAAAGTCTCAGCACTCCTACAGTATGTACAGTAACATGAATGAAGTGAATAAGTAGTTACTGGAGTCTCCTGGTATTTTTAATGCTGTAGCAATATAATCAGAATCTTTGCAGCTTAGTATAATATGCAGAAGTAAAGTTCAGAACCACTGCTGCAATACAGTAGTAGGTGCCACTCTTGCTAGATTTATGCATTAATTGACTTTTCTGGTTACTTAAGGGCAGAAGAACTCCAAACAAGCTCACATTACAGTCTGACATACAGTGTTATTACACATCCTTCAAAGCAACATCTGCACTTGTTTGAATGTGAGTCAAATATTGTACTTGTATATAATTCTTTACCTGTTTGCCATTGTGTGTGACTGAGGACAGGATGGTACGGAGTGTCTTAAAACCCATAGCGATGTCGAGCAGATGGGCAGCAAAGAAGAAGTTGTTATAATGACCCAGGATGGACATGGTCATATACCAGGCCAGATACAAGAAGGACTGCAGGGATAGAGGAGGCAAGAGGTCATTCAAGGTACTGTAGTGCCTGAATGTGTGAGGACCATGGTTAAAAGATTAGGTTACAGTCACAAAATGACTCTGGAAACAGTTATGGGTGACATGTTATACAAGTGTACAAAATTACCACTTGATACTATATAAAAGTAGAAAACACTGTAAAAATGAATGGTATATACATGAATAAATAAAGAAAGTAATAATAATAATAATAATAATAATAATAATACAAGTTTTTAGGTATGACCAAATCTTTTCTTTGTATACAGTCCACTTTCTCCATTGAATTGAATTGGTCCTATACAAATAAAAGTGAACTGAACCGAACTGTTAAAAGGCACCTGCTTTAAGTCTCAGATAGTGGGGTCATGTTTTCTATGAAGAATATTTCCTCTATGACATTCAACCATTGTTATGCCTTATGGAGTCACTTTTCAACAACTGATTTGTGATAGCTTTTTTTTTTACATGTAAATATTAAAATTTTAAAGAGATTTGTGCTGTGTTCAAATAGTTCACTTTTTACATGGGGTGTGGTAAATAAATTTAATTTTAGTAGTTGCTAGAGATTTGTTACAGTTTACAAATGAATAGCCATTCATCACTTGCAGTTTAGTATTTAGTACCAAGTCCCATTTTAATTTTAAATATGGTATAAATACTTACTTCCATTGCCTTTTTGTAAACCTCCATAAAGTTTAGAAACCATCTTTGAGGAGGGGTTGTTTATATGTGCCAGTCAAGATGTCAATCACTTCATTCCCTCCTTCTCCTTAAAATGTATTATCTATCTCTGGGTGTAAACCTGGTGGCCTGAGAGAATCAAATCAGGAGTTTACTGTCTCCTTCCTTTTTGTATCTTTTAACACTCAATTTTCAATGTTTTTTCTATAACTGTATTTCCTCCTTTATGAACCATGTATTCTTTTCCATCTAGCCTGGTTTGAGGCTGTGAATAATCCAAATTTAACACTGTGCTTTTCCATCTAGCCTGATGCAGTAGGGAGCACTGGTACACACATACAGTATCTCCTTTGAACAGCAGATTTGGCAGTTGGCATTGCTCTTTCTTTATTTAAGTGTTTTGAATTTTACCTTCAGCCTATTTTATGGTTTTCCATCCCACTTCAATCTAGGTTTCTGCCTGATTTCCTTGCTTAGTGTGCAGTTCATGGAAAGTACCTGGGTTTTTGTAATGTTCAGTTTCAGTTAGCATTTTGCCTATACCGTCTAAGATTACAGAGAACTTGACAGCTGAACAAATCAGTGGCCATTTAAATACTAGTTCATTTGCCCTGCACTGAACACAGTTTGGTCTCAGATGTAATTACTTGACTGAAACAGCCGCTTGTTTTGTTTTTAAAAAAAGATTAAATCTCTAATGGATAATGGCAATATTAACACTATTTTACCATTTTTATTCCCATTTTTCTAGTCTTACTTATTTTATATATATTTGTACTTTTATGAGGACCTGTTATGGTGTGCACTAAACTTAGGGCTTCAACTTAACACCAAAACTCGTGTGACTGCAGCACATTCATCATATAAATATCATTATATCTGGGTGTAATGTTTTCAACATAGATTGACTTAAAAAAGGGTGGGTGGGGTAGCCTTACATGTAAAGAGTGAAAATATTTTAGTCTGTAAGTCTACAAATGCAAAATTTGAACTTTTGTTTGCAACTTTTGAGGTAACTACTGGCCTTAACAGTTCCTTACAGTTGGGATGTTATAGGGAGCCATCAGCAGTGAGTAAATCCATATCCTCCTGAGCCCATTATTTATCACAAGGAGCTCTACACCAACATTAGATGTCTTAAAGGGATTTATATGCAGAGCATCAATCTGCATTTAGGAAGCAACACAGTGCTACAACTGCTGCAATTAATACTGTAAATTATATCACTGTAGCTTTGCATCAGAAGCAGAGTTGTGCAGCCCTATGTACTGCCCTGCTAACTAAAAAGTACTAAACACTGGGTTGCCTAAACAATTGGTACACTGGATTTCAAATTATTTGTATGATAGGACTCAAGGTGTAAAGGCTAACTGGCTCAGGTCCAATTGGCTTTCTGTTGTGCTACAAAGTTCTGAACTTGGACCACTATTATTTTCTCTCTTTATAAACAACATATTGTAGGTGTTAACATTGATGGAACTCCTACTCATTACTATAGGGATGACACAGTCTTATATAGTTGTGCTCCCTTGATCACAGAGGCTCTTTACAAGCTGCAGTCTGCATTGAACAGTCTCAGCCTAATGAATTCAAGTTGGTACTGAATGCCAAGAAAACCAAGATAATGCTGTTTGTCAGAAAATAAATAAATACACTTTTGACATCGTGACAACAAAAGAGGATGAAAGTTACACTTGTTACCAATACAGAATATGGCTTGAAGAACATCTGTCATTTAAGCACCATGTTGAAAAACCTTATCAGATTGAGGCTAGAGTTTTATTTAAGATACAAATCTCGTTTTTCTGGGCAGTGGTTAGCGCTGTTGCCTCACAGCAAGAAGGTTCCAGGTTCGGACCCCACCTGGGACCTTTCTGTGTGGAGTTTGCATGTTCTCCCCGTGCTTGTGTGGGTTCTCTCCGGGTACTCTGGCTTCCTCCCACAGTCCAAAGACATGCAGCTTAGGTTGATTGGTGTCTCTAAATTGCCCATAGGAGTGCGTGTGCGTGGTTGTTCGTCTATGTGTTAGCCCTGCAATGGATTGGCGACCTGTCCAGGGTGTACCCCGCCTTCGCCCGATTGCCGGCCGTGCCCATAGGAGTGCGTGTGCGTGTGTGTGGTTGTTCGTCTATGTGTTGGCCCTGCGATGGATTGGCGACCTGTCCAGGGTGTACCCCGCCTTCGCCCGATTGCTGGCCGGGGTTGGCTCTGTGACCCCGTTCAGGGACTAAACGGTAGAAAAATTAATCTCGTTTTTCTTTAGAAGCCAGGTGGTTGCTGCCAAACTCCCACCAGTCCTTCATTACGAAAGCTTGCTATACAGTACATGAACCCACATGCACAGTGTGTAATAAATTGGACTTGGTTTACCACTGCACATTAAAATTTATTACAAATAGAAAACCTTTAACTCATTACTATGTTTTCTACTCCAGTGGACTGTCCATCTCTTTCGGTCTGTCATTTGAGCTGTTAGGACTTAAAATTCTTTTTTTTACAAAGCTATTGCCTTAATGAAGACTATATATTGATGTGTTTTTCTTTGTATGTAAACTTTTTAATGCTGCCATCTTGCCAGGGCTCCCTTGCAAGGTTGTAAACTTCAATGAGTAAAAAGTACCTTACTTTTGCCTTTCTCAGCCTGAAAGTAATTTCAAATAAACTTTGGAACGTATTTATGCATTGAAAGATAACTATACCCCCACTTCTCTAGTTTACTCTTTTATCTATTCAAATGGAAGAATGTTAGGAAGGGATCTCTTATTGACCAGGATGAACTGAGGGAATGATTGCAGCAATTACAAAAAAATTTTAGAGAGCCCTGGAAAAAATGTGAACCTGTCCTTTAAATTATCCCAGAATGACACATTAACCACAATAATTGTGAAACATATATACATCTAGAATATTTTCATTTCATGTAACAGTACAGACATAAACACAAAGTCAAGACATGACTGTTGAATGATGATTTGTGCTTCTAAATACTTACATTGTCTGTAAATACAACCCCCAGCTTCCAGATGTGGTACTTGACATCAATGGAGTTTAGCCTGTTAACAAATGAAAAGGAGGCTTACAGAGGATGATCACACTGTATGGGATCCCCTTTTTATCAAGGGACTTGAGTTAAACCTCTAAGGCAAACCTTGCTCTTATGGTGAATTTAAATCTTGCCTTAATGTTTCTACACCTGCTATACTTTGGTATAAAATAATGTGTGCGCTTTCCTTTGTTAATCTTATACATTAACAATGTATGAAAATACAGGAAATGCAGTCTTGTGCATATAAATTTGTATAAAAAAAGACTAAAATTATCTTGTTCATTAAGTTATTGGTTCACTGCATGAAAATGTCCTTATACTACCACAAATTGTTAATGTGAAGGTAAATATTGACCAACTGATATTGAATATTGACACAATACTTACACAGCAGCCAGTGAACTGTCCCTCCTGGGCTTTCTCTTTCTGTGAGCGTCACTGAAGTCCAGAGCAGCCTTGTCCATTCCCAGCAGCTCACTGATGCGGTCATGGCCATAAAACTCCCCATATTTATCCATTACCTGAGGAAGAGCAGGTAATGCTTGAAGAAACACTTTAACGTCCAGCAAACAGCTTTAAACCTTTTTAAAATTATATTTCAGCAATGCTGGGACAGATGACAAGGTGACATTCTCCTTTCCAACAGTAACACAATTTCACACCAGTGGCTGCCAAGCACAAACACTGTCCTCAGCTTTTGGCTGCTAGTACATGCAGTTTCTTTGCAGTTTTACATAAAGAAACTATTTGACAAAAAGTAGTAGTGTTTTTTTAAATACCTGATCATGATTTGCCCCGGTGCCAATTTTTTTAGAATGTGTTGCTGGTCTTAAATTCAGAATAAGCTTATGTAAGCCAAATATATAAATTTTAGACATCTTATCTTTGTACTGTTACCAAATGATTATGGAGTAGAAGGAGTTTTCAAAAATTGCATTCAGTTTTTATTTACAATTCACACTCCAAGATTTTTGAAGACAGGGTTGTATCTCTCTCTGCATCACATTTGGCTGCATCTGGTTGTGCCTGGCTGCTTCCAATAGGTGCCACTGTCAGTGGTCACCAAAATTGTAAAAAGATCGATGGATACACCCACATGCACCTTTGCCTGAAATTTAGACTTGGTTTTACTGCTGCACCCTATTTCAGGAAAACAGCGCCCTCAAAATGTGTGAGTATGTCTTTCTGTGGTTGTGTGGGCAATAGCTCTGCCATTTGTGTGAGAATGTTTTGCTCTAATCTTACTCCATCAAGGGGCTGTTTGTGTGATATGACAATTGGTCATTTTATCTCATATAGTGTGTCATAGTAAAGGACAACCAATGCTGCATCTGGGACACCTTACAACATCCCAACACAAACTCTAGCCTGTCAGAATTTTTCTTCATTGTCTATGATGTGATGGGTGATGCTGATCAACAGGAGCACAGATGGCTCTTCTGTTCACAAAATGTTCGGCATATTGGACTGAACCATATTCATTAAATATCAGGGAGACACAGGTAACGTTAGCATAGTGACTTTCACAGTCAGCCTTGTGAAGTAGCTAGCCTATCAGGGTTAGCTAGCTAGTTTTCAGTTTTACTACAGGCGTAAAACATTTATTTTTAACTGCTACTTCAAGTTCTCCATGAAGGAGAGACAACACAGGCTGCTGCATTTGCCATGCAACCCACAGATGGGTCCACAATTAAACTCTTCCACAACTGCAATGCAACCCATTGTCAAGGCTGTTTTTTTTGTCTCCTAAAACCAAAGCTATTTGTATGTTAGAAAAAAATCTATATTATAGATAAAGTATACATATTAATAACATCTCCAAAACTTTAATTCATTATATCCAAGATTCAAATCTTTCAAACATTACATGACGAACAAACCCACTTGGACTTGGTCATGTCATTGCTTATGATTGATATTAGGAGCTTGTAGGAGATTGTCAGGTTTACAAAAACAGTAACACCTACCTTCCTCTTCACAAATTTATCCCAGTAGTTGTTGGGGAAAGATCTGAAAATAAAGCACAAAAGCCATCAAAGGTATATTCTCTGCATTAAAATAAAATATAAAGTAAACAGACACTGCTAGGTCAACATGTACAGTGGGTACGGAAAGTATTCAG